CAGCCGAGTGCCCCTGGGGCCCAGGGTGGCAGGAAGGGGTGCTGGGTTAAAGGAGGATACGGGAGGAGAGGCCCAGGAGCTGACTCCTGGCCGCCCAGCTCCCCTCCATGGTTAGGATGGTGGGATATTTCTAGTTTGTTTTGAATGAATGCTGAGGAAATGCACAGCACTTATTGACCAGGCTGATCGCAGTGATCCATGCACTGTGCTGCACTCGGCTAGAGATCGAGTCTCCCGGTCTAGAGGTTTCCAACGCTGCACTGTGCTGTTGCTCGTGGACCGGAAGCTTTGGGTGACAGTGCCCTTTCTTCCACTGCCCCACAATGTGAGGCCTCACCTCTCCTCAGGGTTGTGAAAGACTAGGGCCTGGGACAGGGTGGACAGTGGGAATGTGGTGACCTTGGGCACTGCAGACCCCAGTGCTAAGCCTGTGTCCCGAGACCAAGTCCCCACCTTGTCATGAGGAGGAGGGCGGTGAAGGCTGGGGGAGACTAGCACCTGTTCCTGAATGGTATCTGTGGGGACAGTGGGAAGCAGGGAACAGCAGCGGGACAGGCCAAGGAGTGCTTTCAGGTCAGCAGTGGCTTCCTCGGAGAGGAGAGGACAGAGGCACAGTAAGCCCTGGTGAGTGCCTAGGCAGGTGTGGTCACTCGCTGGAGAGACAGGAAGTCCATGCTCAGAAGAAGGGGAGGATGAGCCTGGTGCTGTGTTGTAGCCTTGAGACGGTGCCCAGAAACAGCATGCTGTTCGGGGGGGGGGGCGGGGAAGCCGGCACGAGTGACCACCGTGGGAGATGCCAGTGGCTTCCATCAGAGTGGCTCCGTGTTCCTGCCCGGCTCAGGTCTCCACCTGGGCTTGGCTGTGGTGTTTGTACTCATGTTTTCTTCAGCTCTGACCCACGCCTAAGACAGACAAATGTGACTGCAGCTCATGGTTCGTTGTGGTCAGTGAATGCATTTTCTACTGGACCGTGCAGACCTCTACCAAAGCTTTAAAGAGTTAGCAATATCTGTTGGAGGTTTGCAGCAGAGTGGCATGGATACAGCCACAAATGGTCAAATGGTTGTGCTGGCGAAGCGCCTGGGTCAGGCGCTCACTCCCATGGTGTCCTTCTGGCGAGAGAGCACTAGAGTCTGCATCCTGAGCTGGGATGGGGCAGCGCAGACAGCACAGGGTCTGTCCCCCGGACTGGGGGAAAAAATAATGGAAAATCATCAGAAACACAGCAGAAGCAGCAGCCTCTACCTCCTGGGACAAAACTCCGGCTTTCACTGTTGGCTGCAGGCTCCCTCCTGTTCCTTAGGGAGCTGGACCTGTTCGTGGGGCACAGTGTGGCACAGATGTCAGTGTAGCAGCCCCTACTCAGACATCTCCCCCAGACTCTTCCTCATGCCCGATCCCCTGGGTGCCCTGTTAACTGCAGATTGGAATCAGCCTCACCCAACCTTGTTGCCGTCCTTGATTGGGATGCAGCTGCCTGCATCGGGAGAAAGGGGTGGAAGTGCCCCACAGCAGCCTCTGATCAGGTCATCCGCCCTCCAGGTCTGCCCTTGCTTTGCAGCCAGGCCCGAGGTGTGGGTGTGGGCCCACACTGTTGCCCTCTGTCCCTAGCCACCCCTCCGGCTCTCCAGATGAGGATTCATCCCTGTGAGTAAGACTAATCTTATTAGAGTTGCTGGAGAGGTGACATGGCTCAAATTTGATGAGTGTTAGTTCCTGTCTGCACCTTCTCAGCAGCCCTGTACCTGCCTCCCATCATCCCTCAGCAGGGAATTGTGACCCAGCCCAGGAAGCAGCTGCCTTGTCCCCGCAGCAGGAACAGCACCTCCGACCTGAGGCCACCCTCCCCTGTATGACTTTGGAGCCTGTTTCCTTCCAAGAAGGCAAGTAGCTGAAGGCAGCCCTTCCCTTTCCATGAAGCCCTCACTGGATCCTGGATGATGTTCAGGGCTGTGAATGGTTTGAAAACTAAGAACAAAGAAAATAGCTGTGTTTTTAACTATTCCAGCACAGGAAGGCACCCTGCCCTGTGTGTCCCAAGGAGCGTGCCTGCTGAGGGAGGGTGACAGCCACACGCCACTCTGCCTGCAGCCAGGTCCCAGCCGGCTGGACCTGATCCAGGATTCCTAATGTCCAAGGACCACAGAGTTTGAGGACTCAGCTTTTCTACTGCAGGATTAAGCCATGGGATGGAGATCCAGGGTTTTGTGAAGAGTGAGGCGTTAAAATTTGGGGCAGAAGCCCACAGACAACTATATTGAGAGACAAAAGGCCCATAGCTCTGTGAATTATTAAATGAATTATTAAATGATGGGGCAAAAAGCATGCAGGCTCTGAGGTGGGTGAATGGTTTCACTGTGGGTGAAGGCACCAGGCCGTGGAGTATGGAGCAGCTACACAGCAGGGAGTTTAGACCAGTGAAGCGGGTTGTGTCCAGCCTGTCCTTCCACTCTCCCTGCAAGGGGCTGCCCACCCTCCAGGCAGTGCTGCCCACACCGATTCCACCCACTAAGGGTAGGTTTGCGGGGTGCAGACCTCCTTAGGCCATCAGGGAAATGGTGGAGTTGGGCAATGAGATGCATGTCTGAAGTGGACGCACCTGCAGTGAGAGCGTCCTTTGTCTGTTGAGGAACGGCGTTTCACCAGGAACAGCACAGCTGTTGGCTTGGCTCTCCTCCCTGTGTACCATTTTCCCTTCATTCTGAGTGCCATGATGCTATGCCAGGTCATTGGGGTGCTCCTGATCACCCTGCCTTGCTGGCTGCAGGGCCCATGGGTGAAACTGGCACCAACATCGCTTTGCTTCCACATTTATCTTCCTAGCTGCTGTCAGCAGCTGTGGGGACAGTGACAGCCGCCGCAGACCTGCCATAGGTGCGTTCCTGACCGAGGCCTTTAGCACCAGTTTGGACAGCAGAGCCTTAGGAGTCAAGCGAAGGCCCTGCTGCGAAGCCCGACACTGCTACTCTCCTAGAGTTGCCCGCAGCACGGAAGGCTGTGTGTGCCCCTCGCAGTCAGGGCTCCTGGCGCTCTGTCTCTGGTGCTCACTTGCGTGCAGCTAGGGAGGCTGCTGTTTGGGAGGTCATGTATACAGGGAGAGGCAGGCGGGGTCTGTGTCCAGTTCCTTTCTGGTCACAGGTGGGCAGGGAGGAGGGGCTGTCCCACCATCCACTGGGAGGACACCTTAAGGGCTCTGAGGAAAAAGGTGGAACACTGGCTCCTCGACATGTTCACTGGTCGGGACAAAACTCAACGAGTCCCACAGACAAGGACCAGGAGGCCAAAGGGCCATGTGCACAGGCTCAGGAGCTCATGGAAGTGTGGGAGCCGTGTATGATTCCATCGCTGTAGGTTATCAAACTGCATGTTGCAGATGATTTCTCGGGAAACGCACATAGCCAGGGATCCAGGTTAGATAACTAAGGAGATTTTACAAATTGGAGCTCTCCTGGCAAGTGTGTACTGAGGGCTGGTATTTTCTCGAGAGGCTTTGCCAGATCTGGGGGAGCAGACAAATGATACAGGTTGAAGTAGACAGGGAAGGCAGGCCACAGGGAGCTCGTGCCAGACAGGTATCACCCACCGCAGCCTCACTAACCATCAGTGCAGCGCCCAGACACATGGTGGGGGGACGAGCAGGGGCTCAAGTAGGGTACCATCCTGTCCCTTGGGCTGAATTTCTGCCCCCTCGCTTGGCGCTGGCTGTCCCGTTTCCTTCCAGGGCACCTGTTGCCTCCCAGCAAACCACGTAATTATTGTGTGCATGGAGTGTTGTCTTTGACTCAAGCTGAGGGCAGGGTCTGGCCTTATGTTCTTCTGCCTTTGTTCATTGGGCTAAGCCATGTACCTAGGCACCTCATAAATCCTGATGCCTCATGGGGCCTGGGCTGGTTTCAGAGCAGGAAGGCACAGGAGTGTGAAACCTAGGATGTGAATAAAGCCGGTGGCCTCCGTGTTCTTTGGGTCCTGTGGATGGGGTTGTGCTAACTTCTGCCTGGGCTGGGGGAGCTGAGTCATGGGTGGAAAAGCTGTGCTGTCTGTGTGGCTCCTCTCAGAAGGCAGGAGTATTTCAGAGACACAGTGAAGTAAAATTTCTGTTGAAATGAACTCCCTGAGCAGTACTTTAAAGGAGCAAAAGGAAAAGGGAGGCCTTCTCCACTGTTGGTGGGAATGCAGACTGGTACAGCCACTGTGGAAATTGGTGTGGAGGTTCCACAAAAGCTAGGACTAGAGGTTCCATCTGGCCCAGCTATTCTGGACATGTTCCCAAAAGAATTAAAAGCATCACGCCATAGTGGTATTTGCACACCCATATTTATAGCAGCATTTTATAATAGCTAAGTCTTGGAAACAGTCCACCAACTGTAGAAAAAAAAAGATGTGGGGTGGTTTTCTTTTTTTAGTACAGTGGCACCCTCTTTCCCCTTTACACCAGTGCACCGCACTGCCTCAGTCTACTCCTGGAACTCAGACTTCATTTCAGAATTACATGAAATATTACCATTTCATATGATCTATGTTTAACTTAATCTGTGTTTTAAGTTTTAGTAAAGTTTAGATGAAGAGAGAAAAGCAAGTGATTTTTGTGATCCTTTAAAACTCCTAAGGAATTACCTTATTTGTGTCTAACACAAGATAATAGAGGCTGAAGAATCACCCATTTTGGCTAGCCTCTATTTTGGGGTCTGCGTTTTCTCTGGTGCAGGGAATGGGATGTGGGGAAAGCAAACACTGCAGGTTCCCTGAGTAGCTCTCTGCATGGGAGCAGCAGTGCAGAGAGTTGTGTCCACATCCCGGAGGCCGAGGCTGAGGCAGGCAGGACCCTAGCTGGGGGTCTAGGACTGTAGAAGGGTGGTCCCTGCGGGAGCAGTGTGCGCTTGTGACCGAAGACTCAGTGTGGTCTCCCGCGTCCCTCATGCTGTGAGCCCCTCACTGAGCTGCCCCTGGAGGTGCGGTTGTGCCTCCTCGTGTGGTCCTGATGGAGCTGTGGTCTTTCACAGGGCCGTCGGGAGAGCATCCTGGGCAACACCACGCAGAGCGTGATCGCCCTGCTCAGCAACCTGGTCACCTGCCGAGACTCAAATGTGAAGCTGCTCTGCGAACAGGGTGAGTGCCGCCTCCCAGTGCGTGGGTCTGCCCCGGCAGATATCGACAGCTGGTGAGTCACGACACATGAGAAAGATCTGCAGAAGACGGGGTGGGGGTGGGGGGTCAGGCAGAATAATTCCTCTAAATGGATTCGTTGTCACTCTGGGCACAAGGTCACCAGGCATGGCTTAAAGATGAGAAAACAAAAAGCAGAGGCATAGAATTACTGCTGACAGTGAAAATAAAACAGATGTGACCAAAAACACCTCAGAAGGAGACTGCACGATGGAGAGTGGCTTACTGCACATCTTATGCACATTTCTGTACATGTTCTACTCTTATAGTAATAAAAGATGTAGTAGAAGTGCTCATAAGAATTGGACCCAAATGAATGTCATTAAATTATCAAGTCATTGTTCTAACATTTGCCTGCAAAGAATTTAGAGTTCTGTTTCAATGTGAAGATCATATTTTAATATTGGTAATATTTTTTTCTTATCTTAAAAAAAAGGATATGCTTTTAGTAATACATTTGCCAGCCATCATGGAACTTCAGTATGTAGAAACATTTATTTTTATTTTTTAGTCTTTTTTGAGAAACAGTTTCACTATGCATTTCAGGCTGGCCTTGAACTCACATTGTAGCCCAGGCTGGCCTCATACTCAGTGATCCTGGGATTATAATCATATACCACCACACCCGGCTGAGAAACAATTCATTCTACATATAGCAGCATCTTGTGCTGTTTCATGGCCACAGCAGCATGTATTTGATGGGTGCCTGTCAGTGGGTGGAGTCCTCTCCAGCCCCTGCCAGGCCTCCTTACCCTTATGATCAGGGCCAGCTGCAGGGCACTCCCTACATTTGGACTTACTGAGTCCCAGGCCCTGTGTGTGTCATTTTGCAGGCTTTGGCACATTATTCCAAGCCATATGCCAGGTTACGCTGCTATGTGCCATGCGAGGTTGTACCAGGGTCTTCGAAGCGCAGAGCCATTGCATTGCTGCTTTGTTCAAGATATTTTTTTGTGTTCTTCGGCAGTGTTTTGTAGTATTTTATGAGTCTGCACAATTCTTATTAAGTGGATCTTTTCAAGGTATTTTATCATTTGAAATGAGATATTTTCTGCCACTGTCTCTCTTAGGCTTTTTAAAAAGTGTATTTGAAAGGTTTTGATTTCTGTATGTTGCATTTTGTACCCATTGTTTTACATTTTAGCCTGAGTAGTTTTTAGATGCCTCTCCTAGTTTTCCAGTTATGTAATGATTATGAACAGTGAGAGACTCTTAACGAAAGCCACTTGGTTATTTTCTTGAAGTCAGTGAAGGGTACTTGCTCACTCCTTTCACATCCTTGTGAGATATTGGAAAGCCAATCTCTGTATTATGTCTGATTTCTTCTTGAGTTGGTCTTAATAGTTTTTCCAGAAATTTCATCTGTGTTATTTACTTTTTTGGCATCTGGTTGTTTTTTGATTGGTGTGGTCAGTGGTTTTATGGCTCATGTCTAGATGTCCCCCCAAGGCCTCATGCAAGCATAGGTGGGCTTTTTCAGAGGTGACTGAATCTAGAATGTGCATTGCTGGGATTGATTCATTGTGCAGTCCTAGGGTCAAAGGTGCTAGGATTAAAGTTGTGAGGCTGCCTGCCCTAAGTAGCCTGGATGAGATAGAAGGGCAGAAAGACCTGCTAAGGTCCTTGTTGCTTTGCTACCTTCTGCCCAACACGAACTGTTTCTCTTCTGCTACTGTGCCTTGGAGTCAACTGGTTATGGACTAAAACCTCTACAAACTGTGAGCTAAATAAACCTTTCTGCCTTTAACTTTGGGCAATCAGATATTTTTGTCTCAGCAGTGTGAGAAAAATAATTAAGACAGTGGTGATGGCTTATTTTCTTATTGGCTGATTCTTTTCAGATCTGCTATTGAGCCTTATTCATGAATTTTTAAGAATTAAAAATTAAGAATGTGCTTTTGGTTTTATCATTGTTTCTTTGTTGATAGTCTCTATTTGGTAAGACATCATTTTCTGTTAAATATTTACACACAGTTTCCTGTAGTTCTGGTGAGTTCTTCATAAGCAGTTCCTGCTCTGCTTTTCTCTTGTGTATGGTCCATATGATTTGTGTTTTGGTATGCTTTATAATTTTGTTAAAAAGCAGATGAGGATGTAAATGTATCAACAACAGGAAGCAGGTTATCTGGTGAGGATGATTCATTTGTTTATTGTGTAAAGTCTCTGTTCCCTACCTCATCCACTGTGGCCGTAGACTTCTCTGTTGCTTTAGTTCTTTGGACTAATGAGTGGGCAGAAGTCTCAGCCCTTTCCCAGAGGCTTCCTGTGTACTGGGGCCTGACAGCCACAGAGGGCAGGCATCTGCGATCCTGAGCAGGGGTTGTCAAGACCAGGGGAGGCAAGATATGAAGAGATTAATTAAAGAAATGATAAGCCCCGCCCAAGAGAACACAGATGGAAGAACGGAGGAAATCAGAAAAGAAAGAAACTTCTGAAGAAGAATTTAAACGTAACTTAGAATACATGAAACAGATCCAAAAAGATTACCAGGAAACTAAAAACTCCATTAAACACTGGCAAAATGCCTTGACAGAAACTAAAGTTAGCCTTTGGAAACTTGAAGAGAGATTTATGATATATGATCATGAAAGAAAAGACCTCTTAAAAATAACAAGGAACCAGAAAGAAATAATTCAAAGACTAGAAGATGACAAAAGGATATATAACTTAAGAATAAAGCATGTGAGCGAGGAAGCAGGAGCAACCAAAAACTGAAATACAAAGAATATTCACAGACATATTAAAGGAAAATTTCCCATGTATAGCAAAAAGGAATGATATCCAGATAAAAGAGGCATACAGAACACCAGCTACCTACAACCAAAACAGATCTACACCCAGACATATAATAATCAAGATTCCAGAAATCCACTGAAAGAACAGAATATTAAAAGCAGCCAGGGAAAAGCAGATTACCTACAATAGGAAAATTATCAAAATAACAGACTTTATCAACACAAACTCTTAAATCAAGAAGGAAATGGGCAGAAATATTCCAAGTCCTGAAAGAAAATAATTTGCAACCAAGACTCATATACCCATCAAAACTCTCTCTCAAAATTAATGGAGAAATAAGATGCTTCCAAGACAAGGAGGAACTGTGGGAGTTCATGGCCACCAACCCAACCTTACAGAGAGTGCAGAAGGACATTCCAGAGAAAGAGAGGAAGGGATACCAAGATTCCAGCAACAGTGGCAGAGAGGCCTCAATGAACAAGGCAGACGTGGAATGGGGAGTAAGATGGACAAATTATAGCAATAAAGTGGAGTAGCAGACATGAGTCAGAGAGAGTAAGCTATAATCTTTAGTATAGATAGCTTTAATACACTACAAAAAAAGGCAGAGGTCATTGTTAATAGTGTATCAGGATTTAAAAGACACAATAGTCTTATCGCCCTGTTTAGTTTGAATTTAATTTGTTCTGATCTGTCCACTCATATCAGATTTGAGGGCACAGACATCTGACCCAAAAATAGCGGGTTATACCATGGTAACTATCCTTAATTTCCTATTAACTTAAACTGAAACCCTGTATTACTTACATTGTCTTATTATGACTGATTTTATTTGAATCTGATTCATTAGACCATGGTTTTGCCTTGGCTGATTTTATTTGAATTTGGTATGCTTGATAGTATCAACCCTAAAAGTAGAGGCAACTACTCTGAAGGTGACAAGACGTAAAAGATACCCATACTGGTATTGATTATTAACATCTCTCAAGTCCTACAATGTTTTCCAAGTTGTGTTTTTATAAAGATAGCTATGTAATACTATGCTTTACTATATTAAGCCCGATAATGTGGACGAGTCTATTGAAAATAACAAGAGAAAGCATGTAAATATGGTAGATCATCTAATATTGTGGTCTTATGGAATTTGTTTTGCTGTCTTGTTATGATTTGTTTTTCCCTATAGTACAGAGAGGATAGATATACATGTAGAAATTTACACATGAGAAGATTTTTTAAAAACTATTTACGGGAACAGATTATATAATGCAAGATGTAATGAACAGATACTCTGAAGAAGAAGAGACACTAAGAAAACCAATGCTAATTCTGTAGCACTGTGATATAAAATTTAGCAATACTATTATTCACTGATCAGGGTGATATTAGGCTAGTCTCTTTAAGTTCAATTTCAGCATATGTAAAGATATGGACAGCTACTATGAAGAGAATGAGAGACATAATGGTAGTTATTATTGTCTTCCCCATGTCAGATCTTGAAGAACTAAAAAACCTTCATCATCCTGTAATGATTTGATTAGTTCTATAATATGCAGTATGTATTTAATGTGTGTGAAGATGGGGACAACTATTTGGAAGAAACTAGAGACAATTAGATAAACAATGAAGATCTCCAGTGGACTTGCTTTGAAATCTGTATTTCTTTAAATTGTTTTGATATGTTTAATCTTACCCTCTTTAAGATAAAAAACAAGTGTGTAGGGCTGATAACCATATTACTAAGTTGTTGTTAGATCATTGAGCAGAACTGTTGGCAATGTCACTATATGAATGTCATTTTGCATACTTTAATTTTGTAACCTGAACAGCTATTTCTAAGATGACAATATGTAATTTATCAACTGGTGATTTCTTACTGTTTATTTTTCTGTAATTCTGTATTATTTCTACCCTTTTTTATATCCATGTATTATCTTGTTTGTTTTTCTTTAAAGAAAAAAAAAAAAGACCTGGGAGGCCTTGTGGTCCCAGGTGGTCAGTGCCCAGCCCCCACACACACACAGCCTCCTGGACTTCCAGGAAGACCCAGGCTCTTCAGAGTTTCCAGAGCCATTTCTTTTCATTTTTTCTTCTTCTTTTTTAAATTTTATTTAAGGAGAAAAAGAAAAAAAAATAGAAAAAGGGTACAAGTTATACAGAATATCAAAAAAAAATGGTAGGAAATCACTAGTTAATAGATTACATATTGT